GAAGTGTGAAATCCAACCGCTTTGTTCTGCCGTCACCCAGTCGTAGATGAAGGAGAGGTACGTGCACGCCCACGTGCACACTGGCTAACAGCTAGCTAGTCTCACTGTACTTGTATCGGTGACATGTGGGGATTAGTTACGCTGCAGGGATGAAGCATCGTGAAATATGGCAAAAAAACAAAACTTAACGGAACTTCCACAAATCTCAATGAAAATGTTTAGTTCATCATGAAAATATTGGAATTTTAAAAAATTCTATTTACTGCAAAAATCGGTGATGAAGAAAAAAATCCGCAATACGAGAATACATTTAGTGGTGCTTTGGCCCGGTACGGTGCAGTGTGATCATGGTGGTAACGATGGAGGGATGGATACATTCAAAATATTAAAAACCCATGATGCACTGAGGCAGCGACAGCCGAACCGAGGAACAGCGAGGGACGACTGCACACGTTCACTCCAGGTCGAACACGGACTTAATTTAACCACGTGAAGCAGAACATCAGCTCAGGCGTTTGTTGATAAACTGAAAAAAAAAAAACCTTTATCAAAGAGCGACATCCTCAGGAGAACGCGGGCATTTGTTGGATCAATTGGAGCATCGCGGGAATTCTGGAGACCAGTCGTAGTAAAATAGCGACTTTGAAAAATAACTGCTGCTGGAAGAAGTCACCAGTCCACCAGTCCACCAGTCCATCAGTCCATCAGTCCATCAGTCCATCAGTCCATCAGTCCTCACCAGTCCAACAGTCCATTAGTCCACCAGTCCATCAGTCCAACAGTCCATCAGTCCGATGCCCTTGCACTAATTTAAAAGAAACATTTTTATCAAACGAGACTTTAAACTGGCCACAACACCGGCTGAAGGACGGACCCTCATCATCATCATCATCACCGACAGTGGCCGCATTCCATTTAGCTGAATCCAAGCCAGGGCCTGACTCTACGCCAGGTACAAAAATATTCTCTCACCGACCGCAGCCGAGCAGGAGGTAAAACAGTTAGTGTTGACAGTAACAGGCTGCACAGTGTGAACGGCTCAACTGAAACAGGAAAAATCAAAACCTCTGACTGTGAGTCCAGGCCTCACCAGTGACGGCTGCACACACAGACACGTTTGTGTTTTACTGATAGATGTACACCGATCCATCATGATAAGCTCTG